AGCATGGACTATTCCCAAAATCACGGCCGAGCTTAGGCTCAGGGGAATCCCCTTTCCGGCCACAGCTAGAAAGGCAGAACTTTACAGGCTGCTTACCCACCAAGTCCCCGAGCCTCGGCCGGGAACTAGCTCTCAAGGACAACCACCAAGAAACAGCACGGCCACCCAGGATACCCTGGCAGATATCTTGGCCAATCTACAGACCCTCAATAGCAGGCTGTCTAAGGTGGAGAGCGCCATCTCCTCCTCAGGTACTAACACCGTAGTCCCAGTCTCTACCACGGCTGTACCTGCCATACCTACATGTCCCTCTATACTCCCCCCTCCAGCACCTGGCACAGCCATCACACCTTTCGAGTCACCAGCACACTCCGTCCCAGATTCTATCAGGAAAGATATCCTTGACGGGAAGGATGTGTGTCTGGTGTCTTTACTCATAGCCTCTCAGGATGTACTCGAGAACAAGGCATACAATTATGGTGACATTTCTGTTGTGCTTAAAACGAGGGATCCCAGGCTTAATAAAAAATTGTCTATCCCACAGTTTGTGATAGCTTTTGGGATATACCGCGACGTCATTTGCACGGTGTATCCCCATAGGAGAGAAGAGCTAGATCTCTATCTCCACAAGGTAGTGGATCTAGGCATCAAGTACGGGGGCTCTTCCTTCTATGACTACCACAAGTCAGTCTCAGCGAAGGCGGCGACCCATCTCAAGCAGTTCAACATTAGAATGAACTGGGGTCAGATGGACACGGAACTTTTCTGTCGCCACTTCGCTGGACTCAGGCCCCCGGCTTGTGCCATCTGTAATTCTACATCCCACATGGCGGACTTATGTCCCGTCGAACCAGATCCCACCACCTCCACTCCCACCCCTCACCCCACGTTCACACCTCACTCCTCTTTCACCCCTCACAACAAGCCAGCGGGTGGTCTCCGGGATAAGCTGGGTAGGCCCATCTCCTTTTTAGGTAAAGCACGGGTGTGCAATAATTTCAATGCAGGCTCCTGCAGTTTCAGCGCCTGTAGATTATTGCACATCTGCTCCATATGTTTCAGGGCACATACCAAGACCATGTGTCCAGCCAGGTTGTCACCAAACAAATGACTAACCGACATAAATATCGACAACCTGGTTTTTTATCTAAGGTCTCACCCCAGCAGGCACTTAGTGGATTTTCTCACCACAGGTTTCTCACAAGGGTTTCACACAGGCATAATAGCCATTCCCCCAGGTACACTAGAATGTCCTAATCTCCAGTCTGCACGTTTAGACCCAGTCGCTGTAGACACTCTCATTTCCGCAGAAACCACAAACGGTTTCATGATCGGTCCTTTCACCTCTTCACCGTTTTCCTCCTGGCGCACTAACCCTATTGGTATTGCTATTCACAAATATTCTAATAAAAACGTCTCATTATCGATTTATCGGCACCGCACTCCTCTTTTGTTCCAAGCATAAACGCACTCATTCCAGCAGACGAATTCTCTCTGCAGTACGTCACCATCGACGACGCCATACAGTCCATCATGACATCTGGTAATCGACCCTGGCTCAGCAAAACAGACATCACTAACGCCTTTAAATTACTGCCCATACACCCCTCACTCTGGCACTTACACGGTGTTAAATGGCGAGGGTATTATTACTTCTCAACACGACTCACTTTTGGTTCTCGAAGCAGCCCCAAACTTTTCGACATTTTCGCAGAGTCACTATGCTGGCTGCTTCTGAACGTCATCAGGTGTCACTCCGTTATTCACTATCTAGACGACTTTCTACTGATAGAGTCAGGGTCATCAACACCCACAGCAATCAATAGTACTACCGCACTTTTTTCCACACTGGGAGTCCCTTTGTCCCCAGCCAAAGCTATAGGACCCACAACAAAGTTGACCTTTTTAGGCATAGAGCTCGATTCTGTCAAACTCAGAGCCAGCCTTCCACACGACAAACTTTCACGATTGAGAGGGGAGATAGACACGTTCCTGCGGAATGACGTTTGCACCAGGAGAGAACTTCAGTCCCTTCTTGGATCTCTGAACTTCGCCATGCGCATCATTCCGCAGGGAAGGTCTTTCATTTCCAGACTTCTTTGCCTGCTCCACGGAGTCCCGGACTCCGGCACAGTTTCTTTGGACCCCCACGCCAAGGCTGACTTAGCTATGTGGGGGAAGTTTTTGAAAGACTGGAATGGTATCTCCATGTTTATCCCCCCTCTCTCCACCTCTTCACCCATCATCCACACAGACGCAGCAGCCAACACCGGTTTCGCAGCCATTTTCGGGAACCACTGGTTTAGGGGCCACTGGCCCACTGAGACGGATGCCTTGCCAGGATTCAGGGAGCCCTATTTGAAATTTACCCCATTGTGGCGGCCGCACACACCTGGGGTCATCTCTGGTCCGGCAAGGCAGTAAAATGCTACTCAGATAACTCGGCAGCTTGCGATATCATTAACGAAGGGCGCTCATCATCCCTGACCATCATGCGGCTGATTCGCAAGTTGACCTGGCTGGCAGCATCCAATCAGTTTCACTTAGTATGTTCTCACATCCCAGGTATTCACAACACCGCCGCTGACGCTCTTTCTCGTTCTCGATTCCAGGCATTTTCTCAGGCACTCCCAGCAGCTCACCAACAGCCATCCAGGACACCACGGTTTCACGAACTAATATTGGATTAAGCACACTCTTGCTTCACGCTAGATCACTCACTCACCAAGCATTATCACCCAACACTGCTATCACTTACAATAGGGCACTTAACATATTTAACAAATTCACTGCAGAATTCGGGCTACAAGGTGACTTTTCTATCCAAACCATCATGTCTTTTGCCTCTTTTTGCCACCTACACCTTAATCTGTCACACAACACCATTAAACTTTACCTCACCGGGGTTCAGCACCACAGCCTCACCAATTTTCCTAACAGCACTCCTTTTTTGTCTTCATACCCCATTAAAAAGGTCTTGAAAGGTATATCAAAGGTTTCACCACCACTCGCAAGCACTAGATTACCCATAGACGGGCCTATCTTCAGGTCACTTAGCAATCTCCTTGACACAGCCCCATTTGATAGCTACACCAATACGGTGATAAAATCTGCCATATATCTCGCTTTCTACGGTTTTCTCAGACCTAGAGAGTTCACCGTGATTTGTCAAGGAGATATCACACGATGCCTTAAAACTTCACACCTCACCAAGGTAGAGGATCACTACCTCCTTTCTATCCCTACCACGAAAACCAACCGGTCAATACATCCTACAATAATTCCTCTCTTCCCTACTGATAATGCCTGGTGTCCGGTGAAAGTTCTCGACCAACTACGGTCAACTCTTCACACTCACCTGCCAGACTCTCCGCTCTTAACATTACAAGGGCACCCGCTTACCACGGCAAAATTGATGTTACATGTCAGAACCCTGTTATCTAAGCTCGGACACAACCCGGCTGCATTCTCCGGGCACTCCTTCCGCATAGGAGCCGCCTCAGCAGCCTCTAGCACAAACGCACCGGTCCACATCATCAAAAGGCTGGGGCGATGGAAATCCTCCATATATAACGCATATATTCCGCAACCAGAGAAAGAGCTTCGCCAAGCTTTCAGGAACTTGGTCTTGTAAAATGCAATAAAGTGTGTATTTTCTCGAATTTATCTTTTGCCCTCTTTTATTTACAGGCCCACTCGTACGTTGGTTTCGGCACACCACAACCAACTTTGCTCACAGATACTATCCATTACGTATTTAAATTCCGAGCACAAGTAGAAAGGCCATTAGGCCTGAATTTGTGGGAGGAGTAAGTCCCCTACTTAAACTCCCAGCCCCTACTCACCGCTGCCGCTCAGCTGATTGTCCCCACCCACCTACACCCTGTTTTAACTACATTATCCTTGGTGGGCCCTCTTTTATTTACAGGCCCACTCGTACGTTGGTTTCGGCACACCACAACCAACTTTGCTCACAGATACTATCCATTACGTATTTAAATTCCAAGCACAAATATATATATACACACATACACACACACACAATATATATAGTTATTTTATATGTGTGTAATTTAATTATAAGTGTATTTTTATATTAATATATGTATATATTAATATAAAAATACACTTAGTATGACATTATATATATGATATATAGAGATATATTATATAGATATAATATATGTCTATTATATATATATATATATATATATATTTATTTGTGTTCAGGGCATTCTCATATAATATAGAATAAGATGGGTTGTAGAGATGTAGCTTTAGGAATAATCGGTTGAGGTGTGCCGAAACCGACGTATGCTGTAAGCCGGTAAAAAGTGGGCTTACATAGAGGAAATATGAACAATGGGAGTGGAGGGTGGGGCTATTCGTCTGACCAACAAAGGTAAGTAGGGAAAGGGGGAGTCCCTTTTATAGGTCTATAGCCCCTCCCACAACTTCAGGCCATGCCTTCCAATTTGTGTTCGGGGCATTCTCATATGATATAGAATAAGATGGGTTGTAGAGATGTAGCTTTAGGAATAATCGGTTGAGGTGTGCCGAAACCGACGTATGCTGTAAGCCGGTAAAAAGTGGGCAAAAAGAGACATATTAATGCAAAACATTATACAGGATCATAGTGCATTTGTTAACCATCAGTTAGACATTTTAATGAAAGCGTCCTAATTCCTGAATCGGCTGTGGTATGTACGTCGCATAAGCCTATGATTCCCAGCGCCCCCGTGTCTTAACATGTGCGGGGATGTCTTGGCTATAGGCTGTGCAAGCTGCTCCTATCCTAAAGGAGTGCCCTGAGTAGTCGCTAGGGTTTAGTTCGAGCACAATGAATGAGTAGGTGGACATAGTGCATGAACTTACCTGTGGTAAGGACAGTATCGTACAGCGACAGTAATGGTTCAGTGATGCGTATGGTGGCGTGCCCAAGAACGTAATCAGTACCTTAACCGGGCACCCAGCATTGCTTGTAAGGTAGTAGGTTATATGCACTGGCTCGCCCCTCTGACTCATCTTAGTTTTAGGAAGGGACCGGACATAGTGGTCTGTGTGTTTTAGAAGATAAGAGGTCACCAGGCACTCTTGTTTATGATGTTGGCCGCTGATAGTGAGTTATTGTTTTGGCCTGAGAAAGCCGTTAAAGGCTAGATAGGTAGCAGTTTTGATAACTGCATTGGTGCGTGGCTCGGAAGTGCATGGTCGAGTGGTTCTGTCATGGTTTGAACATTGTATGTCTATGGCCAGTATTTAGTTTTAGCGGGAACGTCCGCTTGGCCATGTCTCTAAGTAAGGTATGTATGGGGTAGGAGGATAGGAAGCTTTGTTGTTTGGGATGGAGAAATACGTATAGTGTTGAATGCCCATGAGATAAAGTTTAACCGTGTTGTGCGAGAATTATTAACTTAAGGTGGCAAAAAGAGGCGAAGGCCATACGTGGTGAAACCTCAAACCAGCTATCTAAGTGATGGTCCGACATGAAACGTATTGTATAAGTGGAAAACCCTGTAGCATGCGTGTTGAGTGCTGGTGGACAAGGCCAGTCTAATCAGAGCCCGGCTATGTTGGCGAGGTTCATGTAATCCATGACCTTGACCATAAATGACCCCCTGCCATGGCGGCTGTCACGGCAGCTGCCACAATAATTTACCATTACGTGTGGTTAAGAAAGTCCACCATATGTGTAGGTCTGCCATGGCTTGGTTGTCTAGGGACAGCCCCTGATCATCATTCGGGAGGGAGGAAAAAGCAAAGTGGTCTGAGATGAAAGCGTGGCCTGCGGTACGATGTGCATGGCAAAATTTAAGGAACCTGGTAGGGATTGTAGTTCCATGTGGTTGCAAGTACCAAGCAGGAGGTGGTAATTGGTGTTGTTGCAACTGTTCCTATTTCTCGTATGGTAACTTGTTGGTATGGATGCCGAGTCAAGTTGTATGCCCAGGAATGTAACGATAGTGTCTGGGTCTTCTGTGACCTTAGGGAATACTGGGACAGCCAAGTGTTCAGACATACTAATGGCTTCCTTGAAACTTCTAGAGGGAAAGGCATTCCCTTTGACCAACAAGAAATCATCTCGGGAGTGTATGACTGTGGGGCATCTGGAAATGTTTAACCACAACCAGTAAAGAGTTCAACGAATATATTGAAGATTGTGGGCTGCTCTTGACCCGAAAGCTAAGCGGGGGAAGAAATATATAACTGCTGCCCATAAATGCCCTGTAAGTGCCAGTGCAGGGTGGATGGTGGCAGTCTGAAATGCGTTGTGATATCAGTTTTACTTAACCAGGCTTCCCCTCCCTGCTTGAGTGATAGTTGTCATGGTATGAACAATGGTGGCATACTGTAATGAAAACTCCTCGGAGGGTATGAGGGAGTTGATTATGGGGTAGCCGAGGCGTGAGGTGCAGATAAGTCTATGATCAGTTACAGTGTGAGGGAAGATTCCCTGTGACAATCCCAATGGGATTGCGCCACACTGTAAATGGTGTAGATCGGAGAGGCCCAGGTAGAAATCTTTCTGCCATTTCTTGGGCCATGAGTCTAATGCCAGCTGTTGGATGCTGCTGTGATGACTGCAAGTTAGGGCATTCTAGATTCCCCCAAAAGTATATGGCAATACCTGAACAGAAGGCCTTTAAAATCGGAGATTAGGAAATAAACTAAATGTCTGGAAGGGTGATAAGTTAGAAAGTACTGGAAATGCATAATGTTTACAGACGATAAGTAAGGTTCAGGGTACATTTATTGGGACACATGGTTTTTGCATGTGCCCTGACATATTGGGAACATATCTGCAACAGTCTGCATGTACTGAAACTACATGTGCCAACATGGAAATTGTTGCAAATCTGGGATTTGCCAAAGAGAATGAGACGACCCAATTTGTCTCTGGTAGTTCGCTACGTCCTACCAGAGGTGCTAGAGCCTGGAGTCTGAAACGTTATCGTCCGCTATGTTGGGACAAAATTGTCCTGTGGGACTAGCAACATCTCCAAGTGAAAGTGTGTTGACTCTAGTTGGAGTGTTAGGTAGAGAGAAATCCTTACCACGTGCTTGATACATACTAAAAATCATGAAGATAGCCATTATTACATGAACCCACAGTGTGCTAGTACTGGCTTGCTAGCTAAAGCCGCATGGCGAAACAATTAAACCTTTGTTTGGTGACAGGTGAGGCCCTGCTAGTTGCCAAGTGGCTTGAGAGGCTCTATCTATGCAATGGCGCGAGGGGATTTTTGTGGCCACCAAACGTAGTGGCAGGATGTTGGCCTCTCGGTGACTGTAACCATAAAAAAGGGGAAGGGAGTGACAGGTGAGGCCCTCTCTATATACCATGCGAGGCGGCTAGCTCACGAGTGGCCCAATGGGTGTTTGCCTCCGAGCGTTGAGGCGGGGTGTTGGCCTCGCGGGACCACTATACGACAGGCGTAGATGCCAAGAAAGGAAAATATCTATTGGAAACCTATAGTCCCTAATTGCCAGTACGCTAAGGATATACCCAGAAAATGTATGTATATACCACATGAGCAGGTGTATGTACCTGGTAGTATGATTAGATACCCTTACTGGTCGTAAAGGTTATTAATACCTGTATCCCAGACGGGTAAAACAATGTATGAAAATCGAATATAGACATTTAAAAGCGTATATTCATATGTGTGTTATGCAAGTTTAATAGAGCAAAGTGCTCTGTCCCAATGTTTATTGTATGCTTGTAATGCCCCTGTTTGAAGGAAATTAACTTGTCGGGAGTGTTATATCATGTGTGATATGGAACACAACTGTACCCCGAAACATGAGTGTAGTGAACCATGACTGGCAGCTGAATAACCTAATAAGTGAAAATACATAATTGGAAGGACTTATATTTTAAGCGTGCAAATATTCCTTAGACTCTGGAATCCTGCATAGTGCTTTAAATAGTATGTGCATTCTTGGGTAAATGTATGCGTATTGTCAGTAAATGTAACTAAATGCCTATGAAGGCAGGTATGCAGGAATGATTATATCATAGTAAGCATGATTTGTAAGGAAGTGTTATTGTGTAATTATAATTATAGTGGGAATGTTATGAGGGGAATAACCATATGTCTGAAAAGCCTGTAGTATACCGTTTGACAGATAGGAGTCAGTATAAAAGTGAAAATGCTGTAGTTAGTTTGTTTGCTTATGAAGTGAAATAAAGTCTGAGAAGCCTGTAGTACACTGAATGACCGGTAAGGGTCAGCATGTAGGCGAAAATACCGTGGTTCGTTGGTTTGTACATGAAATGCAATAATGTCTGAGAAGCCTGTAGTACACCGAATGACCGGTAGGGGTCAGTGTGTAGGCGCAAATACAGTGGTTTGTACATGAAATGCAAAAACTTCTAAGAAGCCTATAGTACACCGAATGACCGATAGAGGTCAGTGTCTAGGTGAAAATGCAGTGGTTCGTAGGTTTGTACATGAAATGCAATAATATATGAGAAGCCTGTAGTACACTGAATGACCGGTAGGGGTCAGTGTGTAGGTTAAAATGCAGTGGTTAATTGGTTTGTGCATGAAATGCAAAAACGTCTAAGAAGCCTGTAGTACACAGAATGACCGATAGGGGTCAGTGTGTAGGCGCAAATGCAGTGGTTCGTTGGTTTGTAGATCAAATGCAATAATGTCTAAGAAGCCTGTAGTACACCGTATGACCGGTAGGGGTCAGTGTCTAGATGAAAATGCAGTGGTTCGTTGGTTTGTACATGAAATGCAATAATGTCTGAGATGCCTGTAGTTACACCAAATGACTGGTAGGGGTCAGTGTCTTGGTGAAAAATGCAGTGAAAATGCAGTGGTTTGTACATGAAATGCAAAAACGTCTAAGAAACCTGTAGTACACCGATGACCGATAGGGGTCAGTGTGTAGGCCCAAATGCAGGCGTTTGTACATGAAATGCAATAATATCTGAGAAGCCTGTAGTACATCGAATGACCGATAGGGGTCAGTGTGTAGGCGAAAAATTGTATGTCATTTGTAGTTTTAACCAAAACAGATTTTAAACCAACAGATTTTACATAAACAGCTAGGTGAGTATAAGGTAACGAAATAACTGTGCAAAACGAAATGAAACCGTAAAGTGAGGACCCGTGCTGTGTTGAATGCCGTGGGAACTAATCCTGGCGCGACAGGTGGATCAACTTACAGTTTGAGAGTCCCTGAGACACCAAATGCGATGCTGACCGGAGAGAAAGCCACTGGATTAACGGAAATCCCTGCTGCAGGATTCCTGGACACAGCTTGGAGTAGGAGACCTCATGGAGCAAAGGTGAAACCAAAATGGCGTCTTGTATGACCTGGAAGTGGATCTCATGCAAATGCTGACCTTGAACAGTCTATTCGTCTGACCAACAAAGGTAAGTAGGGAGAGGGGGGAGTCCCTTTTATAGGTCTATAGCCCCTCCCACAACTTCAGGCCATGCCTTCCAATATATATAAGTAACGATACCAGTCGCAAAGGGGTTAAAATAACATGGTACCATTATTGTGAATAGTATTATGGACTAATGGATTAAGTTTTATATGTCAAGAGGGTAAATAAAAATAAAAGTAAATAAATTTGAACAGTGAAGACTGAGCCCACTATCCCTATAAAACGTGGTGTAGGGTAGAATTTGGATTTAAGGGGTAGCATAGGCTATGTGCCTCGTACCGTCTCGAAATGTAAGCATGTAAGCCACAGTAGTTTGGCTAGAGGTTAACACTCACGGTACTTTGTAGAAGCACAGTTTCAAAAAAGGTGAGTGAGTGGAGGGGGGTAAAGGAGAATAATCCCCATGCCAGTGGGTGTATTTAGAGTAGGGGGATGCATGCCAATGGGCTGTCATTGTGGTGATAGCGTATTGGTGCAGTAATACAGTGAGGTTATGTGTTACTTAAGAAGAAAGAAATATTAAAAACAAAGTAATCATAACAGAGTCCCTGCCGGTGGTCTTGGGCAATTCAGGAAATAGTGGTAGTTGCAGGGTTATCCCTCAGCGCGGCAGGCACAAATGGATGAACCCTCAAGGGATCCCACGCAGAAGACTGTGGGGCCGGGGCTGTATGTGGCTTTCCTTTTGCGGCAGCGGGCAACCCAATTTTCTGTAGGGTGCTGGGTATATCCGAGGCCTCCAGTACTTTCAATGTCCCGGATTCGTGGAGGATCAGAAGACTTCTTGGCGCACCCCATCTATAAGGCACCTTGTGTATTGTAAGTTCCAGAGTTAAGGGTCTCAGGGTCCTTGTCCAGTCCAGGGTAGCTCTGGAAAGATCTGGGAAGAATGCCAGCTGATGTTCTTCAAAGGAATAGGGTGACTTATTGCGAATAGCAGTCATGAACGCCTGCTTGTCAGGGCCGTTTTGGAAGCGGATGATGACGTCCCTGTGCACTCCAGCGCTTGCTGGAGGAGCTGGGAGCCTGTAGCATCCGCCCACAGTCATTAATTTGGCTTGTTTGGCAGAGAATAGTTGGGTAAGAAACCTCTGGAACAGGTGAGGTATTTGAGCTGTGGCGATATCGTCATGCCTCATACCTTTATGTTCTTCCACCGCGTCCGATCCTCCATTGCCGCCATGCGATACTGTGTCTGCGCCTGTTAGCACCATAACGTGGAGAGTTCTCATTTTAGGGCAGTAAGCCATGTCTCGTGGCCTGCTGTGGTAACCTCCATTTCGTGTAGGCAAGCCGTTACTCCGCTGATCTCTTCTTTAAATGCAGAGATGTCAGCAGCAATATTTCAGCGTAACTTGTCTAGGAGGGCCTTCAGGGTAACTTCCGTCACTAGTGTCCCGGATTTTCGATTAGACTGTATAGCAGCTTGCTTGCCTCTAGTCTGTACCTACAGTTCCCTCAGATCAGGTAGGGACGTTTCACTGGACGAGCAAGACGGCCCATCCGAGAGAGGAGCCATGACAGGCCTCGTGGAGCTTCTGGCCTCCATAAAAGATTGCCGATATCAACGGTTGGCGGGGGCTTATCTGCTCAATATTTCTTAGACGTACACCCAATGCTAGCTGGAGACAGCAGCTCTCTCTTGGGCAGGTTTTGTGGGTCCAAACTAGTGAAATAGCCGTTTTAGCATGTGGCTTAGCCGGAGCTCTTGCAGGACCGATATTTAAACTTTTTTAGTACACCTGTGTGTCTAGAAACAGAAAACTGTTCAACCATGACTTCCTGTTTCACAGGGGTATAAATATGAGGTTACACAAAGGCTTAATACCCTCAGTCATTCTTCACAATGGGTGAGACTAATGGAATATAGCTATGATGTGCGGCAAAAGGTTGTTTAGATTCACAAAATGGGTTGTGGCTTAAGAAAATAGAAAAGGCATTTAAAATGCCAATTTCTACCATCAGGGCAATAATTAAGAAGCACCAGTCAACTGTAAGAATAGAAGAAAGAGGGGGGAATACACTAAATGTGAATCCCATCAGTTTGCCATTTACTTTAAAGCCACTTATCAAGATTAAAACATTGTACTTTATTGGTAAAAAAAAAACATGTAAACAAACAACAGATAGTGTCAAGTGTCACAACAAAGTGATTATGTGAAAAAGACCCATGTGGTTCATAAACCGGTTTGTAGGATTTTCCTTCAAATTCTTAGTGATTACCTTCAGAAACAAACTTGCAAGAAATGATGGTTCAATATATCAATCTAGTGCAATTGATACAATGTTGCTGAGGTCAGTACCTTTTTACATTTTATAGAGAAACAAATCCTATCTGATACAAACAAAATATATTTGAGTAAAGCTTAGACCATTGAAATTCTATAAGGTAATTTTTAAGTGCTAAAACTTGATTTTAACAATTGTCCTGATTTAAGATACGACTACTGGTTCAAAGATTTAGGTTGTTAAACCTTTTAATAGGGAATTAGTGCATTTAGTGCATGTTACCAAAAAAAAGCCTGTTAATGTGTGAAAAGAGGGATAAACCTTCAAGTACTTATTTGAATAGACGGTATATAGATAGAAGTTTATTGGAGGCACATATCCGTGAGAGTCGCCGAACAGGCAAATACAGGAGCCAGTAATAAACACAAAGATCTGGTTACTATTAGTAGGATAGGAACTTCAGATAATTTCAGTGGTTAGCAAGAGAAGGGGAATATCTCTATGTACAATCTAAATTCCACCCCTAACTGCTTCGAGGCAGTCTCGCTCACTAGCTAACCCCAGCACTTAAAAAAAAAAACAAACAAAAAAAAAAAGACAGAGAATGATACCACAGGTCAATGTGTATTTAAAATCAATTGCACATAGTGTGCATTAGATCATGCATGCCGTTATCTCAACGTGCATTTCGGTGCTCAGCGCCTTTCTCAAGAGAGTCTGAACCGGCACGTCTGAATCCACCAGTTTAAAAAAAAAGATGCAAATCCCGCCTCTTTGGGACGTTGTGTGATCAATTAGTTGTTCAGCCAATACGGCATTTAGATGTCAGATTGGGTGGAATAGATGTAGATCGCGACTTGTAACTCCTCCCATCTCATTATTCATGCTTATATTGACGAACCATGTATATAGTATAAGAAAAACCTATCATCCTGTCACACACATTCATATTTACTTGTGTGACAGTATATTATATATGGATAGTTTGAAATTTAAATATCGATAAGATGATATATAAATATATGGCTCTTCAGTGTTTCCTAAAATGCTCATACATGGAGATTTCTCTCGTTTGCAAGTATGTCCTGGGTCCATAAATTGTTGCAATAGGATACAATATTCCAAAAAGACTATATATATATATATATATATATATACACACACACACACACACATATATATACATACACACACACACACACACACACAGCAGAAATGACCACACTCCAGGGATTTTATAGAGATTTTCAAATAAAACTTTTATTCAATCCATTAACTTTTATTCAATCCATTTAAAAAAAAAAAATAAGTTTCACCTCCCACATGGAGCTTTCATCAGGACAAAACATGTTCCATTCCACAAGCAGCCCACATTCATAGGTATCATACACAACCATACACAATGCCACAAACTACTCCTGGACGTATTCTATACAATAACAGCCCACATAGGCACAAATACAATGCTACAAAGTAACTGCAGCACCCACAAATGACACAAGCAGAATACAGCAACATACACACCTCAATTGGATTGCAGGATTTGCCCTAAGCAGAGCCTGGGCCCAATACAGCATTGAAACAGCTACACCCAGGACTCACAGCACCCAACCCTGCAGGATTTGCCCTAAGCAGAGGTAGCATTTCTGGATGATCATTTCCTACCCATCCTCCACCCCCAGGGTACTCATTACATTTATAGTTAGCTCAAATTACCTGGCCTTCCTGACAAACCAATCATGTCCACCAAGCTCTCCACACCTAAAATAGCTAAACTCACGCAATACCCTTTTAACCCTTAACTCTCCTAACCTCACCTACAATTCTCACAGCTCAATTCTCCATATCTTAAAAACACAGCACCTATTCTCCTACTAATGTTCTCACTTCTATTTTTAACTCACTCTCTCACTTCCCTCATTATTAAAATCTCTCTATCCTCACCCCCTAATCGACTTCAGACAACCAATATCACCCTAGAACAGACTTGAAAAGATTGTGAAAAGATTCTGACAAAATGTAAACCAGAACTGAAATGTCGGGAGGTTAAACTGTTAATACAAAACTAATGTTAACTCTATGGTGCCAATGGAAATGTAGAAAAGCGAACTGAATCTATGTACCACACGCAAAACAAAATGTGAAACACATGACATTGATATAAGTAAATATGCACTAAATGTAACCTGAGTGTTAACCCCCCTTTTTTCCTTTCTGTGCCCCCAAGTTATTAATAACTGACAAAACAATAAAAATCGTCAAATTTCAAAAAATAAAAATCTCTATCCTTTTACTTACCTGTTCCTGCTAACACCATCTTCATTGCTCCCTCTCTGCTTCCCTCATCTCTGTATTCATCACATGCACTTTACTCATATTTATCCAGCCTTTCTCCACAAACCCCTCCTAAATCCCCTAAATACAAGCTCTCGTCCCCAACATTTAAATCTTACTCCCACCTTCTCTTCCATTCCATACTACTGCTCCTAGCAGCTGGTGATGTCTCTCCAAACCTTGGTCTCTCCTCTACTAAGCCACCTGGTACTAACACCAGAAACCACAACAATCTAATATCCACTCCATGTAACTCTCGCTGTAATTCCTCCTTTAAAGCTGCCCTCTGGAATGCACGCTCTGTGTGCAGCACCGTTAAATCAACTTCCATCCATGACCTATTTATCTTATACTCCCTAAATCTACTTGAACTAACAGAAACATGTCTCTCTCCCTCTGATGCTGCCTCACTATCCATTGGTAGTCTTCACTTTACCCACAACCCAAGACAAGCTGAGAGTAAAGGTGGCAGTGTAGGTCTTCTGCTTTCACCCCACTGCCCACACCCCCTTCCCTCTTTTTTCCATCATTTGAAATTCATTCAATTCGCCTTTTCAAACCCTTTTATGCTAACATTGCTGTTATTTATCGTCCCCCTGGTTCCCCTCTCCTCTTCCTTGACCACTTTGCTACCTGGCTAATCTACTTCATCTCTTCTAACATTCCATCCCTAATTTAAGTCACCCTATTCTTTTGAAGAACATCAGCTGGCATTCTTCCCAGATCTTTCCAGAGCTACCCTGGACAAGGACCCTGAAACCCTTAACTCTGGAACTTACAATACACAAGGTGCCTTATAGACGAATTACTTCCTCTCTGGGGCTATTGCAGTGGGCCAATTCTCCCATCCATGTAGCTGGCAATACCCTTGACCTCATTCTCTCTTATGCATGAACAGTATCTAATATTTGCAACACTCCATTTCCTCTCTGATCACTATCTCGTATCGCTGCAGCCCCGCTCCAAACATGCACCTCGAGGAGGACACGCCCTCAACCGTGGCATACTTTTTTTTTGGGCAATCTTCATTTTTATTGAAGCACAGTATGCATATATACAGAGAATAAACAAGTATAAAGCTTACAGACTCCAAGCATGTTATCGCACATATGGTAATGCTCACTCCCTGTTTCCCGCCTGTATTTCCCTACCCAGCCTCTGTGGTTAACTGAACAACCGAGCGCAACTGCGCAAACTGAACTTTAGAACGTGTTCTGTATGTCTCTATGGGGAAAGGTAGGGTAAGGGAATCGTGTTTCTCTTTTTTCCCCTTTTCCTCTTTGGGGGGGGGGAGACTAATCTCTTCCCCCGCTTTTCGTCCCACTTGAGTATTTGGCTTGAGGTAATGACCTGAGTGCTGTCGTGGACAGTTCAAGTGCGCGCCCGGGCCCCGCACTCTGCGTGAACAAGTCAGTGACCATTATCTGTCTGGGAGAGAGGGAGAGAGGGAGAGAGGGAGAGAAAAAAAGGGGGTGGGTGAGGAAGGGAAGGGGGATGTCGGCCAAGGCAGGGCGAAGGGAAGGGGGTAATCCGCCAGCCCCCCCACGTCCCAACCCCGCGCGCGTGCCGGCGCTCACCCTTCTATTCGCCCCCCCGCTCCGGCTGTCCTGCAGGCCCACGAGCCATATACTCGATCCAGGGAGCCCAGAGGCGGGTGCATTTCTTCCCTGTACCTCTCAATTCCGTT